AAGGTCAGGAAGGGACAGTGGTAAATCAGGGTACACTTATCATCACGCTGGACGTTGGCTGTCCCACTGACGCTTGAGGAGGTGACACATCACACGCACATTACACAGGTCCTGTAGCCCTCTCCGGTTGTACCATTGGGCTTTTCCTCTGAGGTTTTCCACAGCGATCAAAGGTGACTGGCATTAAAGAAATTAACGCTAAGACCAAAAAGGGACAGTGGTAAATCAGGGTACACTTATCATCACGCTGGACGTTGGCTGTCCCACTGACGCTTGAGGAGGTGACACATCACACGCACATTACACAGGTCCTGTAGCCCTCTCCGGTTGTACCATTGGGCTTTTCCTCTGAGGTTTTCCACAGCGATCAAAGGTGACTGGCATTAAAGAAATTAACGCTAAGACCAAACCCAACACACACTGTTTTTCTTCTTTTTTTCCCTAAAAAAAGGCCCTCATGATGTTTAGCCATCACATTTAACCCACTCGTGTATTTAAACAGTCAACCCAAACGTAATGACACCTCAACAATACTCCGGCTGTTCCAACCGACGAGCCACAAGGTATAAACACGGCTAATAGGGTCCTATTTATTTCCCCTGTTTTGAGCCTTGGGGTCACACTTTCAAATTTTTCTCTCCTCCGCCAGAACCCTTTTTTTTCCCCAATTATTTTAAATAAAGCTGTAAATCTGTCGCATCCACACACGCCACGGGAAGCTCAAGCTTTTTATAAACAACCACGCGTTATGGGACCTGTGGCACCCACGACAGATGGTGGAAATGCTGTTGTGGGATTCAGTGTTGAAGTCAGGGAAGTTACACTGGTGGTAAGGTCAGTCTGCCAGGGTCGAAGTCTGTGTTTCGTGTTCTGGTACGTTACTCCAACGTACTGAAATAAAACCAGAAGGTCGGTACGCATTTACGCTTAGGTGCCTGTGAGCAGAATTTGGCTCTTCCTGAGCACTACTTCTGCATAGTGAACCCTTAAAGGAAAATATTTGCAGCCTGTTAGTGGAAAAACAGACATTTGGGTGATTAAAAAGCCTCTTTAAATAGTGCCTGTGCTGAGAAGGAGACCCCTCGTGCTTACAGCCCTTCTGTAACTCGGAGTCACAGATGATTTGTGTCTGGACTGACTGATAACACCAACTAAGAGCAGCTGACTCCACAAGAGACCTCTCACCGGCGTCTCACAGCAAAGGAACACAAGCTTTTACTTACAAGATAAGGGCCAAAGCACGCAGAAAGGAGTCACTCGAAAGAGCCAAGCTGCGCTGTAGGAGTGAAGTATTGAGCACCAGTTGCAGGAGAGAGAAGGAAGGAGAAGACATATTCCATATCCCAGGAGAAAGTATATCCCAGCGGAATGCTCACTCCTTCCCAAGATGAGGGAGCAAAGCGGGAGGAGGGTGGGCTGCCCAGTGCCAAGCACCCAGGATGGGGTGGCTGCTGGAATAAGGGATGCAGGAAGGGGTACCTCCTGCCACAGAAAATTACACAGTGGGTCTGTGGATTTAGAATCCCAGAGTGGTTTGGGCTGGAAGGGACCTTAAAGCCCATCTAGTTCCAACCCCCTGCCATGGGCAGGGACACCTTCCACTAGCCCAGGTTGCTCCAAGCCTCATCCAGCCTGGCCTTGGACACTCCCAGGGATGGGGCATCCACAGCTTCTCTGGGCAACCTGTCCCAGTGCCTTGGAGGAACATCCATGGTCTAACAACCTGTGAATTTAAAGGCCTGGGTGTATTTTATTTTTCTCTCCTGAAAGTAAAGAACTGGGAGAGCATTTTAGTTGAGAGTGGTGGTAACTCAGGGATCAATAGGTGGGTTTTGGGCAACAAAGAACATCAGACACCCAACTGTGATGGTGAAACATCGGCCTTTGTAAGCAGTGCCGGCTGCAATGTCTTAGCGCTGTAGTACCTCTAGTAGTTGTAGTCTGTCCTGTCCTTTAGACCAGTAACAGAAGTATAACGTATTTATATAAAAATCATAAGTAAGACCTACTTTAAGTAATAATGTCATTGACCAAGGAAGAAATCAAAGCAAATTGCAGACCTTACCGCGTAAGTTCAGGAGTTGGTCCAATGCCTACTGCAAGTGAGATTCGTGGTGAGATGTCCAGTGACTTCAGCGAGATCCGCTGCA